CAGAAACAGACACCCACCAGGTCGAAGGATACGGGCCATCTCAGCCAAAATCTCAGCACTGTGCAGAGTGCTGCTTCCCGGGACCATACCCGACAAGATAATGTCAAAGCTAGATTCTTTATGGGCAGCTGAAAAGGAGGAAGACTCTAATGAGCAATGACCTGAACCCAGGCAATCTCCCCATCCCTTCCAAGACCCCACAGATGCTACAGGCCTCGCGCTGGGAGAACAAACACTGGTAGGTATTCATCCAAGAAGCTGGATGAGGAGTAATCTTTTTTTAAAAAAAGCGTGGAATAGCTACTAAGAAACAAGAATGCACTTACAGAAATCATCAACTACACTTCTAAGTTCATTATATCTCAGCTGAAAAATATAAGAGGATGACCAGCCGCCACTATCATGTGCCACCCAAAACAAAAGCTCGGATATCAAGGAGCCACAGAAATGTGGCACTCCCACCAGCAGCCCTCTGGCACCATCAAGATGACATGGGTAGGTACTTACACTGCAACAGCTGGTTGATGTTTTCCACAGACACTCGGCCCTCATTGCCAGTTAACACTTGCAGCTTCTCCACCAGATCTTTCAGAGCCTCCACTGGGGATGACGTATCCCAGACCACTGCCACGAACTGGCCGGCTGAGATCCCAAAATCTGCCATTCCTGCAGTGCTGATGGACCCAAAAACAATTACTGGCCAAAAGAGAACTAAGACCAAGCAGAGACAAAAGCATAGTTTAATCCAGGGGGTATCATCAAATACGATTAGAATCACAACCTACTTCCAACCTCCCACTAGGGAATCCTGAGACAACACTAGAAACCTTACTGTAGATGCCAAAGAGTCTGAGTAAATGAATGAACCCATCATCTCAAGGTTTCATAATCCCGACATTCCCAAAGAAGGCAGGTAGCTTCCTTGGTGAGAATCCTGACTTGGCCGAATCAAGAAAAGGGACTTAGAGTAAGGAGACTGGAAGCAGAAAGATTATTTCTTCTTTGATTTGAGATAACTCAGCCTGAACAGAATATAAAACACACAGGACATCAATTAGGCAAAAGTGTCACTTGGCAAGGACGGTAAATAAATTGGTAAACATAACCCAACCATAAGCTTAACGTTTTTTAAAAAAGAAACAACACAGTTAAAATTTGCAAATTGAATATTGATATTTTCCTTTTCATCAAAATATGAAAATTCACTTCCATTGAATCTGCAGTGATCAAGAATATCTACTATGTCTTTAACGATTAATATTAGCCAGACTGTTCAAAACACCTTACATGCATTATCTCATTTGAACCCCAGAACAGCCTTAAACTAGATATTATACCCATTTTACAGTCAGGAAACTGAGGCAATTGACTTTACCCAAGTCACACAACTAGTAAGTATTATGTGGATAAAGGAGGAGCTGGGATTTGAATCCAAATCCATCTGACTGTAAAGCCCATGCTTTTAACCTAAGGAAATTTTCCTCTATGGGTCAACTTTCTACTCCACTTGATACTCAGGTACGTATATAATACGCCCACAATGAAATTAGGTCAAGAGATAGCACTCTACTCAGTTCTTCCTTCCTTTCTTAAACATTAATGACACCAGTTTCCGACTGAAAATAGCTCAAATAAATGAAACAGAAACAGAAGCTGTGGTGGAGGGGTCAAGCATGGATTACTCTTACTCTGAACGCTTCTAACTTCCACAGGGATGGTCACCTCAGTGACAATTATGCCACAACAGACATTCTGGGACTGAATTTAAGCCACGTCACTACACTCCTGAGCCTTTAAAAATGTTCACTTCAAATAACTCTCCTCTTTGCCTACAAAACAGGCCCAGATGTTAAATACTTTACACTTAATTATTAAAAACTACAGCACTTTAATTTTGTCACTCGTTTTCTACAGGTTTTACTTTCTAGAGCAAAATCAGAATTCCTTAGCCTTCTGGATCCAGGTCCTCCATAATCCGGCCCCACTTGCATCTCCCACCACTCCAAAGTGAATCCTTCCTTATTCTATGAAAAGTCTTTGCATCTTCCCGCTAACATGCCTTTTATCTAGCTCCTTCCATGGGGAATGTCCACCCTTTATTACCCTGACCCAACTGCAAGAGTCAGTAAAAGGATGCCGAGTGCTATCAGACACGTAGGATTCCTTAGTCATTTAGTTTTGGTTTTTAAATTCCTAAAGAGCACACAATGGAGAACTGAAACTCTTAAGCTTTTAACTGTCACATGATGTCCAGGAAGAGCTCTTGTCAGGAAGAGCTTTAAGGCAAGCAACTTGGGATCACTCTCACGTTTAAGAACCAGCTGGGGAAGATAGGGATATCACTTACCGGTCATTAAGTTATAAGAAAGAAATGACCTCTTTCTAGAGAGCTGTTGGAACAGGTGCTCCCTTGGCACAACAGAAAGGGATGGCAACAACCCTGCCCACCACTGACCACAACCACCTTGCACTGTACTCACATGCACGAAACCAGGGGCAAAAGATTACTTAATAGCTAGAGAAAAACAAAAAGCCAGATGTCCTTTTTAGCACCATTTATGGAGGCAATTTTATAAACCACAGGTTTTGAATGCAGATGAACTGGGGTTCTATCTACCACTGGATCCTATTGGGTACAGGACCTGGGTAAGTTATTAGCCTCTTTGAGTCCATTTTCTCATCAATAAAAGCAGGGATAACAACCTCATATTTTACAAGACTGCTGGAAGAAGTAAATGAGAAGATAAAAATATGTAAGGCACTCAGTAGGGTCTGGAGTACAGAGCTCACTAAAATAATGTCCTAAGAGAGCTCTGGGCCTCTACTTCTCTATGGCCAGTTTACTTGCCTTTGTTTCAAATAGTCCTGTAAAACCCCGTTCCTCCTTAGCCAGGCCTGCTAGGACTCCCCAGGGAGCGATGGGAAGCTTCTTTTTCATTGTTCAAATTACACAGTATAAGAGCTGCACTTCATGACATCTTGGACAGTACTCCAGTGGGACTGTATCAGTAAATTAGAAGAATGTAAAATGCCTTGCGTTTCATATCCCCCCAAACTAATCTTCTTATGGGGAGAGAGAGCTTATAAAATACATTTATTAAACATTAACCTTCAAAAAACAGGCATAGCCACTACCTTCAGTCAGCATTTTCCAAACAAAACAGGAGACAATATTCTTTTAAATATCTAAAAACCAAAGTGACATACTTTTCATCATCAGTGTGGACCTGTCTTTAAAAAAAAAAAAAACCCATAAGGAAAAAAGGTCAAGCACTTAAGCCAACGTACTTAGAAGTGGTGACTCAGGGGCCCAGTTTCATAACAAACAAGAGGTGGCGTCAGTGTCAGGTCACTGAGCTTGTTTGTTAGGTACTTCCCAACTCTGCTGCCCATGGCTCTTCTAAAATATTACTGGCGGGCAGTAAAAGCAGATGTTGGAGAATAACTTCTGGAGATGCACTTAATTATTTTTAGGGTACCCAGGAAGCATCAAATCTTGAGGCATTTGGTCCCTCTTAAGGGGGCCAAAATTAAAAAATAAGACTGAAGTTCGGGCTTCAGTTCAAGAGATCCTTTAAAGTCAGGTGCATAAAATATTCTAAGAATATTGACAGTTATCAGAAAGGAGAATTTTAATTAAAATGAACTGAAGCTCATGTGCACACACACACAACTTTTTTTTTTAAAGGTGAGAATCAGCAAGGAAATAGGAAAACTCAAAGGAAAAAGAATGAAAGACTATGTCTCCAGGAATTTGGTGTGTGTCAGGAAGTGAGGGTTTCAGAAAAGAAACCCAAATGTTAGCTTCCACAGGAAAGGCTCATTCAAAGATGGGTGGACAGAACTCAGAAACAAAACCTCATGAAAAGATCAGTAGTACTTTATCTAAATCCAGATGTGGATCTGAAATTTTAACATTTGGGGAGAGTTTTTTGGCTTAGGAGGTCCTCTGCCACACTAGTGCAGGGGAGAGCAGGATGTTCTGAAAAGCCTAGAGTTGACAATGGGTGTGCAAAACACGACTTTTAACAGACACAAACATGGGGTCTAACTGCAAACACACAAAATTTACAGAATTACATGTTCCTGTCATCAGCTATCCCTTAATCCAAAAACCATTTACTTCTTCCTGTTAAGCTTTCCCTGATGATACCTAAGTGAAGTACTTCGCATTTATATTTCTGTTTCGTGACTCTAGACCATGACCTCCTTGATCCTTCCAGAGCCTGGGCACTCGGTAATGTCAGAATGAACGACATCAGCCTTTTCCAAACTTGCAAATCCTACAAATCACCCGGGGGACTGGTTAAAATGAGATTCCTGAACCACACCCAAACACGCTGAATCAACTCTCCAGCAGAAAGACCTGGGTATCCGTTCTATTAACAAGCATCCTAGATGGTTCTTCCTACAGGCAAGTGTGGGAAATTATACCAACTCAACACCTTGGGGGTTCGGACAAGTCATAGGCTCGATATTACAATCTATGGGCTCAGGTACCCCTGAGCTTTCGTGCTTCGCTGCCAGGTACCCTCAAAGACAGAAACTTCATAGGGACTGAGGCCCAAGGTCACAAATGCTGGCTACTGGTAGAACCGGGTCTCAGAACCCAGGGCTCCCAGACCCCCAACTCAGGGCTCTTCCTCCTCGGGGCGGTGTCCCTCGGCCTGAGAATGGGGCCGGCTGCGCGAGAGACGAGGCAACCCAGAAAGGGCAGGGATCTACCATCAGGAGCCGACTCTGGCCCCTCACACCCGCTTCCCGGTGAATAAGCCCGTCTGGGTTCTCGGCGGAGAGACCGTGGCCGCGTTCCCACCGAGGGACAGGGGTGGGAATAGGAAATGAGAGGATGTGGGGACGGGGGAAGGGGCAGTTGGGGGAGGTTGGACACTCAGATCTTCGGGACCACTCTCACCTGCCGCCTGGGCTCGCTCCCGGCTTCTCCACACGCGCGTGCCTCTCGCGAGAGGAGGAGACTACTGAGCGGCCACTTCCGCCCTCCTTTTGCCGAGGTCCGGGCGCTACCCGTCGCGTCGCCGCGGGCGGCGTGCCCGCTTCCAAGATGGCGGCGGCGCTGTCCGGCAGGATCGGCCGGGCGGGCTGGCGACTCCTACAGCTGCGATGCCTTCCCGGTGAGGGGGCAGCTGGGGAGGGGCGGAGGGCGGAGGGGGCGCGAGGCCGGCCCGGGCTGGGTGCGGGGCGGAAGAGGCGGTTGTGGAAGCTCGCGAGCAAGGTGAGGTGAAGGGCATGGGCGCGGGGCCGCTGGCGTAGCGGCTTGAACTACGCGCGCGGCCTGGTTCGGTCCCCACTCTCGCGCCGTGAGGGGCAAGAGCACCGGGCAGGGCCTGTCACCCCCATTTCATGGAGTTAACAGCTTCAGAGAGGGCTTGGGCCACCCAAGGTCACACAGCTCGTCGGTCGCAGAACTGGCAGTCGCGCACGCATTCTCAGCTCCATTGCCAGGTGCACTCGAAGGACAGGTGGACATAGCCACAGATTGTTTCCCCCAAATCAGTCATTTTCCCACCGGTTCACTAATCCTGTGATACTCTCTTACCACCTTTGCCGCTGTATACTCAATATTTTTATTTCTGCATCTGAGTTCTTAAAAATAGCTAGCTACTTGGGAAACTTTATATCACTACCATAAATGGAAAACCAAAATCGCCTTCCATAAATAGAAGTATGCATTGACACATTAATATAAATATGTAACTAATGAAATATTCTCCTGCATTTTACCTAAAATTTTCTCGTGAACCGCAGTGTTTCCACAGTCATGCTCTGGGGCTGCTTCCTTTTCAAAGTGTTATGGATATTTGCTCCATTTTTTGTGTACATATACTAAAATGTTGATATTTTTATACATACCATTCTGTGTTTCTTTTAAAACCATTGTTCCCTGAATTAGTTTGTTGATTTTTTTTTAAATGAACGTCCTTTTGTTTTTATACAAAATTCCAAACTAAATCAGTTTAGTAAAAGTAATGCCTTTGACCCAGTGAATCCACTCTTACCCAAGAGAAATGAAAGCAGGTGTCTGCCAAAAGGTTTGTGTGGTATATTCATAGCCAAACACAGAAACAGCCCTGGTGTCCATCAACAGAAAAATGGTGTTTCTTAATGGAATACTGCCCAGCAACAAAAACAAAAGATCTGTCAAAGATAAAGCTGGACACTAGTTAAAGTGGTAACAACAGTTTTTAATCATAATAACTATTGCGATAGGGAAAAGAGTCCAACAGCAGTAACTGGGTGTTTTAAAGGAAAAATGAGAGGGGAGGGATGAGGGCAACTAGGGGATCAGTAGAGTCAGGAAAGTAAAAGATTACAAAGGGTTAGTATAAACGAGATTAGGCAAGCTGTTTCTGCTAGCTGGCAATTATTGAAGTTAGGATTCTGTCGTCCCAAAGGGAGACAAAAGCCCTCTCCCCAGCTGTTGGCTGGAACAAACAGTACGTTTTTTTGACAGCCTTGAGTTTTCTCAGGCAGCCAGTTTAAAGGGCACTAGGGTCATCTTAGAGATATGGCCTCGAGGGACACTATGTTAGAGTGTGTGTTCAAGTCTTTATAGGCCATGATTGAGGCCGAGATAAGAATGGGGCTCAGAGGAGCCTGACTAGAGTTTGGTCAAGGAGAGAATCTTTGTCAGATATACTGATTTACATAAAGATAAGGATCAGTCTCAAAAATATACTAAGTTAAGCCTTACAGAAAAAATACTCATTTAGATGAAATCCTAGGACTGGCAAAACTAAGACAAGCAAAACCTAATCTAGGATGAAAAAAATTCGGGACAGTATGGATGGGAATGACTATAAAAGGGCATAAGGGAACTTTCTGGGGTGATGGTGATGTTCTCTGTTGAGACTGAGTTCAGGTTATGCAAATATGTACATTTGTCAAAACAAAATGGTACACTAAGATTTGTGCATTTCATTGTATCTAAAAGAACAGTGAACACTGAACTCTGGTTAATGCTAAAATGTTTAGAGATGTAGAACACTGAGATCTGCAACAAATGGTCAAAAATCAAGATGAATGAATAAAGAGCATGATAAATGTATAGAATCTAGTGGTGGATATATAGGTGTTCATTCCATAATTCTTTCCATTCTTTTTGACTGTGTGTTTGGAAATTTTTATAATAAAATGTTGGGAAAGAAAAACGTAGTATGACTTTATGCTTAGGAAACACACTACTGATCTTTTCTAAAGTAAGTAGAGTGTTGCAAGTATTGCAGAGGAGAAAGCAGCTAGAAATCAGTGACTTGTCCAGAGACACCACATAAGCACTGGGGGAGTCAGTACTGAGAACTAATTACTACTCCAGTGCTCTTCCTATAATATATAAATATGTGAGATTTTCAAGTCACTTTCCCTTTTCGTTTGGGCCTCACAACACTCCCATTGAGCAAGTAGAGATTATTATCCTAAATTCGGAGATTTCAAAATCTGCACATTGGGGTGAAATGGTTTGCCCATTGCCACACAGCTAACAAATGGTAGAAACAGGCCAGGATGCTAGGTAGACCTTCTGATTCCTGGCTTGCCACTTTTGCCATTGCATCGTACCCCAAGGTTTCAAATTTACCTAAGATTTTTGTGTGGAACCCCGTACTTGGATAGGTGGTTCTAGAGAAGTCTTTGCCCTACTTTTCCTCCTCCATGTCTGTATTACCATTCTGCGTCTCAAAGGGTCTTCCCTGGTGAATGTCCCTGACCACCCCAGTTTCTGTTTCAGTGTCCCGTTGCCGACCATCCCCAGTGCCACGTGCCTTCCATGCTTCAGCTCTGGGGCTAAGGTCTTCAGATGAGCAGAAGCAGCAGCCTCCCCCCTCTTTTTCTCAGCAGCGTTCTGAGACACAGGGGACAGAAAAACCCAATCCGGAGTCTTCTCATTCACCACCCAGGTAGGCACCAGAACCCCAATCCCCTGGTTTCTGGCCACTTTGCATGCTTGGGTATATCTGTTCCTCCTTCCCTTCCTCTCCTGTGCACTCGCCTCTTTACCTTCCATTGCTTCCAAGGCTATCTTTGAAAAGAACCTATTGTTTTTATAAAATTGGTACCTGTAGATTCTAAAACATGTAAACAATACAGAGACGTTCACAAAAATAAAGCAAAGTTTACCCAAAATCACAAACACAAATAACATTGCTAACATTTTTATGAATATCCTTTTAGATGTTTGTCTAAGCTTATTTCATATATACATCTATGCATATAATAAATGATTGATTATGCTCTACATGCTGTTCCAGAACCTGTTTTTTCACTCAATAGTACATTTGTAATATCTTTTCACAATTTACATTATGTTAATGGTTATATAACATTCCAGCAAATGGCCATACCGAATTTATTTAACCTATCTTTTATTGTTGGATATTTAAATTTCCTTCACTGGTATAAACAATAATGTGATAAAGTGTATGAATCTTTTCTTAGAAGTAGAAGTGCTGAATTAAAATATAGGTACATTTAAAGATTTGTTACCTATGTGGGGTCAAATTGCCCTCCAGAAAGGTAATAATAATTTATATTTCCATTAGTTTTTTTTTTCCTTCCTAATCCTGCCACTAAAAAGTTCCTCTAGATCTGAAATTAGAGTCTTCCTTGTTATTTTTTCTGGTTTCCTAATTAAAGTACTTTTTTTTTTTTTTTTTTTTTTTGAGACAGAGTCTCACTCTTTTGCCCGGGCTAGAGTGAGTGCCATGGTGTCAGCCTAGCTCACAGCAACCTCAAACTCCTGGGCTCAAGCAATGCTACTGCCTCAGCCTCCCGAGTAGCTGGGACTACAGGCATGCGCCACCATGCCCGGCTAATTTTTTCTATATGTTTTTAGTTGGCCGATTAATTTATTTTCTATTTTTAGTAGAGACGGGGTCTCGCTCTTGCTCAGGCTGGTTTCAAACTCCTGAGCTCAAATAATCCGCCCACCTCGGCCTGCCAGAGTGCTAGGATTACAGGCGTGAGCCACCGCGCCCGGCCTAAAGTACTTTTCAATTCAACAAATAGTTTTTGAGGGCCTACTATATGCCGGGCCCTGTGAAGAATGTAACCATTGTCCCTGCCCTCGTAGAGTTCCTGTCTGGTGCAAATATAGATAAAGAGACTGTCTGAGTACAGTGCTAAGGGCTGTAAGAGGGAAATCCAGGTTGCTGCGGGAGAACTGCCTTCATACAACATGATCTCAACTCACTGGATCCGTTCTCTCAGTGGCTATGTGGGAATGGGAGGATGACTTTTACTCTGTTGGCATTGAAACATTGATACCAACACAGGAGTAAATGTCCTCTCAAGATGTGCTTAGAGGAGATCCAGAGCCTCTGGTTTCTGATCAGGCCCATTGTGCATGCCAGACAGTAGGCAGTGAGCATGCTGGGCTCTGTCCCCATGTCTTAGGTATACGGACCAGGGCGGTGAGGAGGAGGAGGACTATGAGAGTGAGGAGCAGCTGCAGCACCGCATCCTGACGGCAGCCCTGGAGTTTGTGCCCGCCCATGGGTGGACGGCAGAGGCTATTGCAGAAGGAGCCCAGGTGTGTATAGGTGAGGGTGGGACAGCCTGACCAAGATCAGCCAGGAGGAGGTCACACCAGGCAGAGCAGAGGGCCTCACGCCTTTTTCTAGTGCAGCTTAGAGCCCCTCACAGCTGCAAGATTTACTGAGTTTTGTTTCTGTTTTCCCCAATAGGGTGGAAATGGCTTTATTTTTTCATTATAAAAAACCATGGAATTGGTTCTTGGGATGTATGTTCTAAAGGCAGCCTATTAGGCAAGGATTATCTGTGATCCAAATTACCATATTTCATTGACTCTAAGAAGCCATTGGTTTTAAGAGGCACCATTTTATGTGCATCAATAAAAAAGAAAAAAATCCTACCTATTAAACTATGACAAATCATCAGTTCTGTAATTCACACTGATTTTTTTTCCAATGAAAAAATATATGCGTCTTAGAATTAATGAAATGTGGTATTTGAAAACCCCAAAGAAGGTACCACTTTGGAGACGAACACACCTTGTTTTTCTCACTAAGTCTAGCATTCCTCCTGCACTGGAATAGACTGCTGTGTAGATTAAGCAGTGGGCTCACGTTTAGGCCATGTTGTATAGAATCTTCCAGCATAGCCACCTACCATCCTATGAGAGGTCTGTGAGCATAGAAACTGAGGGAATTACAGTCACGTCTCCCATCCCAAGCTTACCTGCTCTTGGACAATGGGCAAGTTTGCTGCTTCCTTAAATTTAACTGTTATTTGTCTTCTCTCACTCTCTTCCAAGAGCACATATGGTAAGAGAAGTCATACAAGTGAAATATGTGTACTCTGTGACTTTACTCTACGCTCATTGTGAAAACTGTGAATGCTACAAATAGATATAAAAAAGAACGTAAAAACCATCTATGATCACACCAAAGATCTCAACATTTTAATGCCTATTCTTTTAAATTTTAAAAAAACTATGAATCATTCATTCTTTAAATATTTATTGAACAAATAGTGTGCCCTGGGCACTGTGTCAGTCCTGGGGACGTGACAATGATCAGATGGACAAGTTTCCTGCCCTTTTTGAGCTTCCAGTCTAGTGACATGAGCCAAATGTGTACAAATATATACTTAGAAAATGTGGTAAGTGCTTTCAAGAAAAAGTTATCTTGGGCTGTATAATGGAGAGACTGGTTCTAATATGGAATGGGGTCACAGGGTGGTCAGGAAGGGCTTTTAAGCTGAGAACCACAGAAAACCACCGTGCAGAGAGTGAAGGAAGAGAGACTTGAGATGAGGAAGACTGGAGAAAGGTCAGTTGAGGCCAAACCAGGCAAGTTCCTAAAGGTCATGTGAAGGAGTTAGGCTTTTATTCCAAGAATAACTGAAGGTGATTAATTTTGGCATTTCAGAATGCTCATTTTGGCTGCTGGATGACAAGTGGATTGGAGGCAGAGAGAGAATCACTGGGGACTGCTGCCAGTCATCCAGGAGAGAGGAGGTTGTCTGGCCTAGAACCATGGCAGTGAAGTAGAGACAGGTAGTTAGGTGTGGGGATAGGTTTGACGTGGAAGGGAGTGCATAGTTTGCATGTGTGGGTACACAGTGGGGTCGTTTTTCTAAGATTAGGTCCACTGGAAGAGGACCAGGTCTGGGGAAGGATCACGGGTACAACCTTGATCTTTGTTGAGTATGAGGGATCTCTGAGTCAACCAAGAAAGGCCTCAAGCACGTAGGTCTGGAACTGGAGGAGAAAGCTGGACTAGAGAGATACATCTGGGCATTATCAGCATATATATGCGATAATTAAACTGTGGAAGTCAGCGTGGTTGCCCAGGGCAAGAGTATAATGTGATACGAGACAAGAGTCTAGACCCTCAAGGAACTCTGTTATTTAAGGGGAGGGTAGAGTAAGATGAGCTGTCAAAGAAATCCGGGTCAGAGCATCCTGATGGTGGCGGGAAAGCAGGAGAGTGTGGATTAAGCCAGCAGACCTTGGTTACTGTAGCAGCAGCCATGTGGGTGGAGTTCCGGGTCAGAAGTCAGTGTGGGGAGTGGGGTGAGTAGTGGGTGAGGAGGTGGACAGGCGTTTGGCCGTGAAGGCTGGGAGAGCTGGGTGCACCGAGCAGGGAGATGGGGTGGAAGTCTGTGTGTGATGGAACACCAATGGGAAGAGTACAGAAATGAGAGCGGGTGAGGATATGAGAGGAAACAGGCAAAATCAAAGCTATGAGGTTCCTTGACCGCAAGAATGATGAGGTCTGGAGAACAAATGGAAGGACTGGTCTTAGATGTGTTAGGTGCAAAGCTGGAGAAGACAAGTTGGAGGTTTATAATAGTTTCTAGAAGATGATTAAGGGCATTCCCAGGGGAAGGCTTCTGTTTTCTCTGTGCAGTAGGTGTGTGGGCTCATGAACCTGAGGTTAAGAAATGGTGGAAGGACACAAAGATTTTGAGGGTAGTAGAGCATGTTGGAAAGAATCATTACAGAAAGTGGTAGAATAAGTACAGGACAGAAATGTAACGGGATTGTTTGGAAAAATCAGATTATTCTTTTTTTTTTTTTTTTTTTGAGACAGAGTCTCACTCTTTTTGCCCGGGCTAGAGTGAGTGCCGTGGCGTCAGCCTAGCTTACAGCAACCTCACACTCCTGGGCTCAAGCAATCCTTCTGCCTCAGCCTCCCGAGTAGCTGGGACTACAGGCATGTGCCACCATGCCCGGATAATTTTTTCTATATATTTTTAGTTGTCCAATTAATTTCTTTCTAATTTTAGTAGAGACGTGGTCTCGCTCTTGCTCAGGCTGGTTTCGATCTCCTGAGCTCAAACAATCCACCTGCCTCGGCCTCCCAAAGTGCTAGGATTACAGGCGTGAGCCACTGTGCCCGGCCAGATTATTCTTTAATTTTATGATTAACTGACTTTTCTTTTATTCTGCCCATCTTTGTTCGTAGTGGCTGCATCATCATACCTATTCTATTTGCTTGACCTCAGGTGATAAACATTTGGGTTGCTTCCAATTTTTTAGTATTGTAAACCTATTTGTACCACCTACTTCAGCATATCTCTGATTAATGTCTTTACAACAAATTCCATGAAGTGGAGTTGCTCTTTCAGGGAGTGTATCAGTCAGGATTCAGTTGGGAGATAGAAATCATACCAGTTATTCAGATAGAGAAAACTTAATACAAAGAATTGTTAACCAGGTATAAAGGTAAGAATACTCGAAGGTATTATGGAGGTGGCAGCCGTAGGAAGCAGCTCCATCCCCAGGGCTAAGGGAACAAAGGGAAGAGGTGAAATTATGAAAAGGAGAAGCTTGAAGGAGAATCCCCGTGGAGGAAGAACACAGACCTCTGAGGAGGAGATGCTTCTTAGCTGGTGCTGGTGTCTCTAAGTTTGCAGGAAGGGTCACTTGGGGCTGGCACATGACCTGGGGCATTGGGGGAGAGGACTGTGGCTTGGGAAAACTGAAACTGGGTTCAGCCACTGCTCCAGGAGGGAACTGCTGCTGCTGGGGTGAGGAAGCATCTCTGAGATGTTGCTCACATCAGACAGGAAGTAAGGAGGAAGGAACAAGTCCTTTCCTCCTCCTGCAGCCTTGCAGACTCCCTTTAGTGACCGTATTGGCAGAGCCAATGTGCAGAGCCCCAGCCTCATTTGTAGCGTGTGGGTGATAATACCGCCCACCTGACAGAGGCGCTGTGAAGATGCAGTGACACCGTTTGTGTAATGTGCTTAGCGAGGTGCCTGGCACGTCGTCTGCATGCAGTCACCAATAGCTCAAGTTGTCCTCTGTAAGGGCTACGTACTTCCACCAGAAGCGAGGGAGTGCCCCACTGCCAACAGTAGGAATTGGCATTTAGTTTTTTTGTTTGTTCTTTCCTGCCCCGTCCCTGCAGCTGTCAGGGGTCTACCTCCAGTACATGCTCAAGGATTGCTGTATTCAGAAATAGCAAAGGGCTTTCGTGGCTTTGTTAACTCCCTGAGAAACTCATTAAGAAAAATTTTGTTGTTGTTTTAAACAACTGAGACACCCAATTTCCAAGAGACTTAGGTTAAGTGCATTTGTCAGGAAGGGAGTTACGAGTGCTTTTCCCCAGCCCCTGTCTGTATTAGTTAGGACTCCAGGTTACAAGTGTCAGAGTGCAACTCTAACTGGCTTAAGCTAGAAAGGGAATGTTGCAGCTCATTTAATAACAGAAAAGTCTGGAAGTAGCTCCAGCACAGTATTCTTGGACCGTGCTACCAGAAAGCGTCTCCATCATCTGATTTGCTTTCTTCTCGGTGAGCTTGCTTCTCAACAGGGCCTTCCCACGCAAGACTGGAACTGACTCAGCGGCCCGAGGAGAAAGGGAGCACCTCTTTCCCTTCAGTACTGCCAAAAGCCCTAACGTGGGCTCTTACGATGTGGGTTTGGTCTTATGTCCATCCCTGAGCTATCCTTGTGAACTCGAGTTATCTGAGCCTGGATCCCGTGCTTGCACACATGCCAAGGGGCTTTATGGAGTGGAGGGACGGGTGGTGGTCAGCGTCACCAAAACCACACGGACCCAGAGTGAAAAGTGGGCGTGTCCCACTGAAAATCAAGCTGCTGTACTATAAGCGGCACTAGCGATGAACAGGCAGCGAAGGTCTACTACCCTCCCACTACTTTTCTGTCTTCTCTCTCCCTTGTCGTAGTCTCTGGGTCTCTCCAGTGCAGCAGCCAGCATGTTTGGGGATGACGGCAGTGAGCTGATACTGCATTTTGTGACCCAGTGCAACGCTCAGCTCGCCCGTGTGCTGGAAGAGGAACAGAAGCTGGTACAGTTGGGTCAGGCAGAGTAAGTCCTATGGCATTATTGCTCAGGGTGGCAGCTAAGGACTGGGGGACTCAAGTCCCACCAGCTGTCCCCAGGAGGCTAATCCAAGCAGAGCCAAAAGAGTAGCATTGCGAAGCCCTGCTGCTATGATGGGACTGAAACCCAGCAGCCTGTCTGATGGCTTTAGTCAGGCCAGCGTCAGGAGCTGGGGGACCTCCTCCCTAGGGCTGAGTGAACGGTGTAGTGCTGAGCCCCTGCCTTTGACCCAGACACACACTGTTTTCTTTTCCCTCTTCCAGGAAGAGGAAGACAGACCAGTTCCTGAGGGATGCAGTGGAAACCAGACTGAGAATGCTGATCCCGTACATTCAGCACTGGCCCCGGGTACAGAGTCCATGTCCAGGCCCCAAAGCAATAATAATATTAATATTTATCATTCTCAGCACGTTTCACTGAGAAGACTTTGTATACTGTTCAGAAGTTAGCTCATTAATCATCTCCATGAGCCCAGGAATACTTAGTCAACTTGGTAGAGCTAGGTTCCAAACTTGGCGGTGCCAGAGAGGGTGACTCTGAGCCATCACGTCTCAGTTCTTGGAAATGTGAGTGGTCCGGTCCTAGGTCACATCCTGGGTGGGGTCCTAGTGGCCTGAGTGTGCCACCAGGTCTTAAGGAGGAGAAATCCTCCTTAAGGAGCTGAGAAAGTCAGATTTTATTGGCCATCTTCACTTGAATAACAGCTTTGTCGTGTTTCAGAACCTGAGGACTGCGCTTCTTGCCACGTTGTTAGTGGGATGCTTGGTGATTGGAGTATTCATTCCAAGGGCTTTTTCCCCCTTTCTCTGAAGCTTCCTTTTTCCTCTGGTTCAAAGCTTGTCACACTGTGGGCCATTCTCGGAGTTAAGAAAGTATAGAGTCAAAGCACATCAGAAATGAGAGGGGCTCAGAGAGCTGGTGTCCTTTGCCCACCTGGGAGACTACTGAGCATATGATTTCGGCCATTCAGTGGCAGACATTCGAACACCTAGAGTGCCCCTAACCCCAGGGTGGGTGTGAAGGGAGTTACAGCCAGGAGTTAAGTCCTGTCCCCTGCCCATGCTCGCCACACTGGATTTTCACAGCCCCGGCCCTGGCTCATTCCACCTTGCAGTTACAGCAGTGGACGTCCATGTGTGAGGCCCTCGTCTCCCTTCCTCCTTCAGCACAGCGTTTCCTTCTGGGCTGCTTCACTGCGAGAAAACCTTTCAGCCAATCCAGGACCTCTCTGACGAGCTCTCGAAGGCCACAGCCAGTGGATTTTAGAGTTAACCTTGTCCTGTTAGACCAGGAGGAGCTGATGTCTGTTAATGGAGGAGTTTCTGGTCTATGCCTTCACTTGTATTAGTGGAAGGATTTCTGGTTTCAGGAGACAGAAATCATCTTGAGTTAAGCAAAAAAACGGGGAGGAATTTGTGATGTTGCAGTGGCGCATCAAGGGCAGGAATGCTGCTGGGCCCAGGAATGGCCTAGAATTTGGTCCTGGAAACCACCCCCAAACTCCACTCCTATCTCTGCTTCTTTGTCCTCTGTGTGACAGAATGGGGTGTCCTCCCTGATCCTTGCTTAGAGAAACCAGTCCAGACCCTCTGGCTCTGCATTCTCAATTCCAAATGCTAGGGATGGAGAATCTCACTGGGCCAGCCTTGGACAGGGCTGTGCCCCTGGCTCCCATCAGCTGTAGTCAGGATTACTAGCCTGGAACTCACACCAGTGGGCAAAGATGGTGGGATCTCAGAGAATGAGAGCTGGGCAGGCCCCTCGTACACCTCTTGGAGAGGTGAGGTGCCGGCCACCTGCGTGCTGTTACCTGTGTGCGGTACTTACTCCTCTGCCATTCTCCCCTCAGGCCCTCAGCGTCCTCATGCTCCCCCACAACATCCCATCCAGCCTGAGCCTGCTCACCAGCATGGTGGACGACATGTGGCATTACGCTGGGGACCAGTCCACAGACGTGAGTGCTTCCTGCAGATTACTGAAAAAGGCTTGGGTTAAGCATTTTTCAAGAAGTTTGTGAAATTTCTTTGATCACAAGTCCATACGGGGGGCCTGCAGAGTCATTCCCACCTAAGGTATGAAAAATGTCTTACGACAAGCCAAAGTGGGATCTAGGTCGCCTTCATTCAGGGACCAGCATTCTAGCCACAAGGCAGTGATTATTTCCTCCAGCCTAGGGTGGTGACACAAGGCATCAGAGGGCCTTGTGATTGGGCTGCCTTTTTACTCTCATTTCCCCCTTGTTCTCCTAAGATGTAGGTTTTGCAGCGGAATTCTTCTTTCAAAAAATAATCCCATGGAGATACTCATTGCTTTAAAAAGAAACTTCCTTCCCCGGCCCATCTTGGCCTGCTTTGCTAGAAGATCAATAAGCCCCTTTAAACAGGCACCAGGAAAGAATCTGACTTGTTAATGCCGTCATATTTCTGGTAGGAAATAAAAAGTACACCTCCATAAAAGAAATTAAAATGTGACGGCACTTGGTGGAATCCAGGGTGAGGAGGCACACAGATACACCCACCATAGTTACAACAAAGTGCTCTAATAAACTCCCCTCATGTGGGAACATACCACCAGCAGAGATGGTAGGAAAACGAAATTAGAAAGCAAAGAAATTAAAGGAATAAAACACCAAGCAGCTGGGCTGGTCCTCTGAAGAGTGGTTTGCCAGAACAGTCAGAAGTTGCTGAGGAACTTGAACTCTCGGCTTTGCCCAGGTATTGCAATCTGTCCGTGATCCTGTCTCAGCCCTCACTTCGCTGATGAGCACTCCAGGATTTGCTCATAACTGGCTGATCACAGACCCTCCCTGGGATTCAGATGTCCTAAGACTTAGTCTTTCCACCAGCAGTTCTAAAACTTGGATGGATGTAGCCAAATCACCTAGAATGCTTATTAAACATCCTGATTCCTGGCACTTAATTCAGACCCATTGACTCTACTCTTAAGAGGTTGGGCCCAGGAACTTGCATTTTTAATCTCCTAGGTGATTCTGATGCTCAGCCAAGTTTGACGCAGTGATGTCCACAGGGTCATATGTATCTGTGAGGGAAAGGAGAAATCAGGAGGGAGCCCGGGAGTTCCCATGGCCTGGGGTGGGAACTACCCCAGACTTCCCCCAGCCCACAGCAATAGTGGTAACCCCTTCCCGGGTGGGTTTCTTGACAGTTTAACTGGTACACCCGCCGAGCTGTGCTGGCTGGCATCTACAACACAACAGAGCTGGTGATGACGCAGGACTCCTCCCCGGACTTCGAGGACACTTGGCGCTTCTTGGAAAACCGAGTTAATGATGCAATGAACATAGGCCACACTGCCAAGCAGGTAGCTGGGGGCTAGCCATTTACAAACCCTCTTCTGAAGGCACACTCGTCCTTCTCAGGCCACAGCTGGTCACCTGGCTATTCTCTTGCTCCCTTTTGGCCTCAGCTGACAGTTCTGAGGGCCTTACCAGGGAGCCTGGCTGGTTCTTCTCATGCCAGCCCTTCCCTAAGAGCTATGCTTTGCCCATTTGTGATTGTTTTCTGCACCAGCTCTCCTTCCAGTAC